AACAACACTAATACAACCAGGTTTTTCAACATTTTTCTGTGACTTCCTCCCAAGTGGCAAAAGCCATATGGCATGTAATCAGGTCAAAGTCTTGCTCAAGACATGATGTTCCTGGCAACATAATCTTTTGAGCTTTTTGGGTTTGAAAGACTCAAACAGCATCTATGATGTCCATAGACAGCAAGGTTGTAATTTGATTTTATTCTAAAAGTAAAAGTTTAAATGTTTAAAACCAGACTTGATGCCAAAAAGGACCCCTACATATAGCCATGATTGGCAAGAATAAAATAAAGGATTAAGCCAACGTTTTCTGGATAACAAGCACTTCTTCTGTCTATAACCCCTTCCACAAATACAAAGTACTTTTAGCCAAAACTGAGATGTCTTCATGCGGTCTCAGTGGGATATGAGACTTAGGCGATATCCTAGGTTGAAGTCAACCCACTGTTATGTCTTCAAGCTACCACGTGAGCTAGTCACAGCGTTATAACGTTCAACTCATGAAAGGATAAAATGGTACCATGGATGGAGGGTGCGATGTTGTGATGATAGAGTCTGCACCACCAGCTGGTTGTAAGATTTAAATGGGGGACTGTTCACACATTTTATATGTAGTGCTCCATAATAACCTCACCAAGCTACAGACTGTGCCTTCTTATGTTTTTGTGATGCTGGCTTCATTTCTAAAAGTTCACATTGGTGCAGGACATAAACAGCTCAAGTAGTGATTTATGAACAACCAGAGGCAGCTTGAAAAGGGACTTCTCCTTGTGGTCACATTGCAGAACAGTTTTATGAAAGAGGCTTTATTGAACTAATCATCCACATCAATATACACAACCAAAACACAAGCCCTTCTGGGCTATGATTACAATTGCAATATCCAGTAAACCTGCTGGCTAGACCAGGAAGAAGGCAGCAGAAATTTGAAATCATGTTTCAGGTAAAAAAAAAATTAAAGAAATGATCTAATTTCATTAAACAAGGTGTGCTTGCTTGTGATGCTCGCTGTTGTAGAAGCTGTTAACATCGATCCCGTTCCTTGTGGGGTTTATAGGCCGCTGTTATAGTTGTCATCAATACTGCTGTTGTATTTCTAGACGTCTGGATGGAGTGGTGTTCGACTGCGGCTGTGACATCCGTTGGATCCAGCTGTGGCAGCAGAGGGGAGAGGCGGGGCTTCACACTCAGCAGCTGTACTGCAGAAACGGAGCGACCAAGATACGACTGCACAACATGTACATCCACAACTGTGGTAAGAAAATAGGCTGAAGGTGGCAAATGAGGGAAGTTCAACAGGGAAAACTAGAGAAAACTAAAGAGAAGGGTCAGAGAGAAACACGAGCAACAGAAAATAAAAGAAAGGAAGAAAGGTGAAAGGACAAAAATACGGAGACAAGTTGAGATAGAAAGAGGAGGAGAAGTGACAGAGCTTACCAGGTGGATGTGATGAGGAGCTGTGCGTTGTGACAGAACCTGTGCACTCTGCAGTATCATCTCCATGTGGTGACTCATCCCTGAGATTTCTGCTGTGTATCTCTTCCTTTGTCCTAATGTTTTAAGAAAGGCGAATATTATCAAAGATAAATAACTGACTTAATGTGAAAATATATGAACACTTAAAGTGGCACTTGCATGTCAACCCAAATACTAACTGTTGTGTGTGTGTTTGTTTCAAACCTGTGTTTTTTCAGACCTCCCAGAGATCAGCGTGAGTCACGGCAGTGTTCTGGTGACAGAGGGTGACAATGTGACGGTGAGCTGCAACGGATCTGGATCACCGCTGCCTGAAGTAGACTGGACCGTCAGCGGCCTGCACTCCATCAACACACACCTGGTCAGAATCGCACAAGTCACTATCACTAAAAGTAACTCGACAAACAAACAGGACGTCCCAAATTTAGAATGTGAACCTCATCAAGGAACTAGAATCATTTTAGGACTATTCATCTTTGATTCAAGGTGTTCCTTTTGAGTCACAGTAATCCGGCCTGTTCTCGTTGAGATGACTTAGTTTTTTTTTTTATTCAGTTTGAGTTAACCATAATGTATTTTATGTTGAAATGTGTGAACAAGATTTATTTGGACTGATTTTGTGCTGATCAAGTGCACGTAAAGCCTCTCAATGTCTAGTATCACTGGAGGTTTTTGACATAACTTTTATTTTTCTTCATCTTTTTGCTAAATTTGTGTTGATGTGGCCATTTTTCTTACCAATGAATACTTTATTACCTGTGTTATAGCGGTCTACACACTGCTGTCCAGTAGTTGTGCAATGTGTAGTGTTTGATTACCGATGAACAGATGAACTGATTGCAGTTTAAGGCTGTGGGTCTCCAGATGGACAGCTCTGACCTGACAGAACTTGGGTCAGATGACAACAGTTGTTAGTGAAGATTGGCAATTGTGTGTCAGAGCTGCTTGTGAGTTTGAACCAGAGGTTAAATCTGTCTCACAAAATTGTGTTGTAAACTATACTGAACAAAAATATAAATACATTTTATTTGCTCCAATTTTTCCAAGACTTTTCTATGTAAACAAAATGTCTTTTTTATTTTAAATGGTGTTCACAAATTTGTGTAAATCTGTGTTAGTGAGCACTTCTCCTTTTCCAATATAATATATCCACCTCACAGGTGTGGCGTATCAAGATGCTCATTAGACAGTATGATTAATGCACAAGTGTGCCTTAGGCTGACCACAATAAAAGGCCACTCTAAAATGTACAGTTTTATCACACAGCACAATGTCATGGGTGTTGCAAGTTTTGAGGGAGTGTGCAGTTGGCATGCTGCCTACAGGAATGTCCACCAGAGCTGTTGCCCATGCATGTTCATTTCTCTACCATAAGCTGTCTCCAAAGGAAAAGCAGAATTTGGCAGTACATTTAACCAGTGTCACAACCACAGAACACGTGTAACCACATCAGCCCAGGACCTCCACATCCAGCATCTTCACCTCCAGGATTTCTGAAACCAGCTACCTAGACAAGTTCTGCAACTACTGGTTTGCATAAACAAAGCATTTCTGCACAAACTGTCAGAAATCATCTCAGAGAAGCTCATCTGCATGCTCGTCGTCCTCATCAGGGTGTCCACCTGACTGCAGCTTGTTGTTGTAACTGACTTGAGTGGGCAAATGCTCACATTCAATGGCATATGGCACATTGGAGAAGAGCTTTCTTCATGGATGAATCCCGCTTTTCACTGATTGACAGATGGCAGACTTGCATGTATGGCGTTGTGTGGGTGAGTGGTTTGCTGATCCTGAATCGAGTGGCCCATGGTGGCAGGGGACGGTTATAGAATGGGTAGGCATATGTTATGGACAACAAACACAGGTGCATTTCACTGATGGCATTTTGAATGCGCAGAGATACTGTGACATTCTCCTGAGGTAGATTGTTGTGTCATTCATCTACAACCATCACCTCATGTTGCATCATGCTAATGCACTGTCCCATGTTAAACTGATCTGTGCACAATTCCTGGAAGCTAAAAATATCCTAGTTCTTCCATGGTCAGCATACTCACTGGACAGTTCACCCATTGAGCATGTTTGGAATGCACTGGATCACCGTATACCACAGCATGTTCCAGATCCTGACAATATCCAGCAACTTCAAAAACAGCCACTGAAGAGAAGGGGAGCAACATCCCACATTCAACAACTCATCTCTATGGAAAGAAGATGTGTTGCACTGTGTGAGACAAATGGTGGTTACACCAAATACTAGCTGGTTTTCTGACCCCCACGGACCCCCCAAATAGTAAAAATAATTTGCACATTTTAGAGTGGCCTTTTACTGTGGGCAGTCTAAGGCACACCTGTGCAATAATCATGCTGTCTAATCAGTATGTTGATGTGCCACACCTTTGAGATGGATGGATTATGTTGGATTATGTGCTCACTAACATGGATTTACACAAATTTGTGGACAATATTTAGGAGAAAATGACCTATTATGTATTCAAACAACGTTCAATACAAAAACAACTGGACTTTATTTGTAACAGAAGACGTTTCGCTCCTCATCCGAGGATCTTTCTCAATTCAATGAGCAGTGAGTGAGAGATTCAGGTTATAAGGCTGAGTGAGATAAGACACACACACATATGTAGATTGGCCATTCACACCTAAACACCTTAACAGTAGGGGTTTCTTAAGGTCTTTGTTGCTCTAATTCACAGATGAGACCCCTCTGTTCAGAAAAAGTCAGATCTTTGAGTTCAGCTCATGAAAAATGGAGCAAAAAGAAATATATTGTTTATATTTTTGTTAAGTGTACTTTCAGTACTTCAGCTGATCTGTTAGTTCAACTCTGTCTGATTGTGTTCACATTCATCACTAGTTCATTATTAGTACTCTGCTCAGCAATACATATTATTCTTTTCTTTTGATAAAAAAAAATACCCATGATCACTGTAAGCCTGAAAAAGTGAATCATTATATATAAATCATAAGAATGTATGAACTTTGTTGCCACATCAACATCTACAACACTAGTCAGTCATTTGCTTCATTCAAGAGTGAATAAACTGTGATGCTGTCAATATGAGGGATAGAGGAACAAAAGTTATAACCATATTGGGGGGGGGGGGGTCTATACATATAACAAGTTTAAAGTTTTATTAAACATGCACTGTAGTCGGTGTTGAATTATTATTTTTTCTTATTTTGCCAAAAATTTTAGACTTACAGTATATTAAGCAAGTTTTAAAGTAACCCAAAAAGTCGTCTTATTTTCCATTCCCTTCACATGGGATGAAGCCTCTGCTACGTGGCCAAAAATCAACCAGAACATAGATTTTCTTTGAAGGATCGTTGTGATGTCTGTTGTTTCACATTTTGGGGTCCAGCTTATCAAAGAAATAAATGCAACTGTGAATCACTGTGCACAGTCCTCCTCTTCAAAAGTGAAAATATTAAACATGCCAGGTGATAGCTCCAAAGGACTTCTATATATAAAAAAAAATAATAAAAAATTTACCACTGTGAGAATCATAGTTTTCAACAGTTTGTCACATATCATTAACTAAATGTACTTCCTTTACTGTCATAAAAAATAATCCTAAACTAAATACTCTATACACCTAAATGTTTGTCCAACGGGTTTTTAAATCATCTTTTCTGATTCCACCTGCTAAATCAAATCTATGCTGGCTCCTCAAAGGACTAAGATGTTGGTGGATTAATCACTGACACAGCTTCTGTTTGGATGGCAGCTCTCAAGCTGCTGGTTGTTGAGCATCCATTTTTATAGACAATTTAAAAGTTATTAGAAGGATGACCCCCTACCCCACCCCCGATCAAAACAACCAGTTTAGTTTAACTGTATTCCTGCTTGGACCTTCAGTACACCAACTAATACATCGCTCTGGCTCCCTGACACCAGCTCCGGGTCTCTGGAAGAACTGCAAAGACACAGCAAAAAGAGGACAGACTGAAACTGTGGTGTGATTTTCATCTATGACTTAAAATCACAAATGACCTTACAGATTAAAGTTACCTCCACCTTACACATACATATTGCAGTACACATACATGTACTGTGATATCACAAGTGAAGTGTGTGCCAGTGAGAGGAAGACTGGATGGATAAAAGCAGGGACCTGATTATTGTATTCGGCCTCCTGATGTGCTCAAATATGCATCTAATGTGCATTTTAACATGCTTCCCTTTGTGCTAAACCTATTTTAGTAAGAACCCCCCCAACCCCCCGGATCAGTGAGGTGGATAATTCCTTCAGCTAGTCTACGCTTCTTGACTGCACCGTTTCCCTTAACAGGATTTTAACTAATGAATAATTAACCTTACTTTTAATTAGATGATTAAAATTTTAAACCCCAGCAGTGGTTTACAATGGGCTTTGCGGTATATCGTTCACGTACCTAACCGTGTTTCTCCTCTTTATCTGTGTCCCCTTGTCTCTTCACACAGTCGAATGTTTACTGGCCGAACATCCACTCCATCAACTTGACTCTTTTTAACATCAGCCGAGACGACAACAACTTCCAGCTGACCTGCATCGCCGAGAATGTGGTGGGCATGACCAACTCCTCAATCCAGCTTAACGTGCAGTGTAAGTTGGATGCTTTCCATAATTAGGTTGATTAAATCTGTTTCAAGTACTGCCAAGTTGGGGGGTAAAAGACCAGCGACAAAACTTTTGAAAATTGGGCCAGATATCTTCGTCACAGCTTAAATTTGGGTATTAGGGAGAGAAATGCATTATCCTAATGAGTACAACTTTCTAGCAGTCTAATTAAGATACAATGATTCAATACTGCTTGAAGTACACAAAGGTGAGTATACTGACTGTAAACATTCACTCATGCTAATTACTTTGATACATTCTATATATACATAGCTGCTTATGTTTAGTATCATTAAAGTTAATAAATAATATATTTTTAAAAATTCCATTGCGTTTAATTTTACTTTAAAATTAGTAATGCATCGCATTAATTTAGATATATAAAAGCGGATAAAAAACATTGAACAATAGAAACATATCTGTCTGTATTGTTGAAATAAATTTTATATTTAATGTTAAGTTAACACATTTCACAATACTTATTTTTACCTGGATTCTGATGAATTTACTCAACCTCGTATTATGTTAAAAGTGAGAAGGTGAATTTAGTCTGAGAAAACCTCTGTGCTGTAAATATCCTCACAGTCGCAATTTGTCAGTCAGAGGGAGGTCCCACCTTAAAGCGCACCCTGCTTTATCGTCTGTTTTACTTTAAATGAGAGCCTAATTTACAAAGTTATTATCATGCTGTGTTGAAGAACACTTCAGGCTAGCGATTAGGAAAATCTTCACAGAAGCTTCCAGTCTGTCATATGACAAGCAGAAGACTTTTTTTTTTTTCAACCAAATAAGTCATTTCAGGCTTCCAACTGGAATTTTCAAGCTTTAAGAAGCACTTGCATTGGCTTCACTTTTCAGACCTGGAGGCTACAAATATCTGTCATGTATACTCTTTAGTTAAAATATAAAAACATATCTGGCTGTGTGCTCTGGCTTTAATCCAAATGATATATAAATTGAATTTAAAAGCAGTTCTAATATTAAAGAATTAATTCTGTTAATCAAGCTTAAAAAGACATCCACTGAATGTCTGGCATGTCAGCATCAAGTCAAACCTCCAGAACATGTCTGTAAGGTTGTTTCAGTCTGTGAAGAGTTTTTAACGCATACTTTATTGCAAATCCTAATGAAGTGCTTTTTACAAACCTTAATTAAAATTTGCAGCAAACACTGTACTGGGTCCTGCACAAATTATTATGGTGAATTATGACGCTAATACTAAAACAATGCGTAAGGCAACTTTACAATGTCAGCGCTGACCCATTTGCTGACCAACTTTGTTATTAATGCAAACTTATTATTTAAATACGTTTTTATACAAAAGCAATACATCTATACCACTAGTGTGTTTAGATGAACACATTCAGAAAACACAAACTATATTAGACATTTTTTGGATAAAAACATGTTAAGCTTTCACTAATTACACAAATTTTTTCAAGGTTTTGTTTTAGAAAAAATGTTCGGAAACCATTTATTCTAAACGCAGGATAATTGCTTGTATCAAGGTTTGTATTTGATCAAATTGTTGTTTTTTTAGATATCAGTTTTGTTCATAAATGTTGGAAAGAATATTTTGAGTTGAGACTCCATAAAGCTGGTGTTGGGACCACACTGTGGGTCATGAACCACTAACTGAAGCATCTTCAGAAGAGCTAAATCAAATTCACGTTATAAGCACTTTTTCTCTTATAAAGAAATATGTATACTCTATACTGTACTTGCCGCCGTACACGTCGCACCACCGTATAACAAAAATGTCTAATAATTTTGAAAAAAAAAACATAAATACGTCATTTTGCCATATAGGTCGCATCTATTATGCGTCACTGCTGACCACCCGTAAATGTGGGCCGGTGTTGTGCCAAAAATTGATTGGCTGCCAAATGGCGGCCACGGGAGCATGCACGGGAGGACTTTAACAAGAATTTAACAAGGTTAACACTTGAAAACAATTATTTGTTTGCTTAAAACTATAGCAAAGGTGTGTCTCAGTTTAACTTTTTTTTAAATAAATGCACTTTAATGGTCAAATCAGCTACATTTCAAAAATCGATTTGCGGCTGCGGGAGCGCGCAGAGGGAGGACTTGCTGTGCATTTTTTCTAACTTTAACAAGATGACCACCTAAAAACAATAATTGATTTGCTCGACATTATAATAACGGTGTGTCTCAGTTGAACTTTTCCTTAATAAATGCACTTTAACTGTCAAATCAGCTGAATTTCACCTGGACAGCACGGCAAAATGCAGCTGATTTGATGTTTGCTCCAGGAGTTGCGGAGCGAGACGAAGATGGCCTGTATAGCAAGCCAAGTGTCTCATTAATAGCCACTTTTCCCTATTAAGGAGACACTTGACTTGCCATATTGGTCGAGCACCCTCTAGTAGCTGAAAATGGTAATGTTCCATATTTTCCACGTCAGAATGAATAACATTGTCAAATCTCTGCCAAAAATTGAGTTATAAATATGAGAAAAAAAACATAAATAATTAATTTGCCATATAAGTCGCAGGGCATGCTAATTTATGCAAAAAGATGTGACTTACACAGCGAAAAATACAGTATGTGTACTTGTACACTTGAACCAGCAACAGCTGGGGTCTCTACTGGCTAAGACTTTTGTGAGTCAAAAGCTAAAACATGAGAAACCACTGATTTAACTCAGTAGAATCCATCCTCTGGGGCCCACAAAATCAACAATTGTTACATCACTCCATCCAGGGTTAGCTTAAATGCACTGCCAACAGAGCTAAACATGCTAACGTGTCACAGGGTTTGCGTTGTGTTTAAAACAGGAGGTGTTAGAGAAAGCAGCTTCAGTCAGCCATGTTTTACAGTACGACAGAAAGACATGTAGTCAGCACAACGTCTGTATCGTCGTCTCTGCAGTTTCGTTTTGGTTATTAAATCGTATTTGCTCATCTGCCATAGCTGCACTGAAAACAACTCAAATTCTAAAATGTGAAATCATGTTGCTCTGTTGCTGAAGGCGTTAATCAGCGAAGTCTGCTGGTGCTGTGATTACTGTAGTGAAATCTTGTTACCTACCACCATGCCAGAGGCTTATCCACATTTGGTAACCCGGTTCATCTGGGTCTGCAAAGGTTTGGTAAATAAATCTGTCTAAATTAGGAATCCAGTTCAGCAAATGACACATTTTCTAATCACAGCATTAAAACAGTGAGAACGTGTTTTTGAGAGCCTGAATGTAAAATGTTAACTCCAGACAGAAGAATTAATTGTGTCAAGTTTGTTTTACCCCTGTATTTATTGGGTTGTATTTAAAAGTTTAAATGTGGTGTATCTGAAAGATGTACACCACTAATTCATGTAATGCTCCTTTTATCACCTGCCACCAAAAGATTTAAATCAGTTGATAATATTTTTCCACGTGTATCTATGCATCAAAAATTTTACGAACCACTTTACATATTTTAATGAATCTCTCAGAAAGTAATAATCACATGTAATTGTGCAACTAATGCAACATTTAGGGTCAGTTTAATTTAAGATGGCTGCTCCAGCTAATCAACCATAGCCAAAGCAGAGATGGTGATGATAATTTTACAGATACTGTTATATGGTTTGGTGTGGTAGTAGCTGATAATTATTTACAACACCTATAAGGAGTGCAAACAAATTGTGCAACACCTTGTACGACATCACACATATTTTATATTGATATTGTGTTTTTTTAATTGTTTTACAAAATTGTACTGAAATTAGGCCTGTCACAATAACACATTTTTCAGGGTGATTAATTGTCTCAGAAATTATTGCGATAAAGGATAATGTTGTTTGAAACTTGACAATAATTAGTAATTATTATTAAGAAGAAATGTTGGTTAATTTATTTAAGTGTAGTACCTTTTTTGACCACCGGATGGCAGTATAAGACTGTTTGAACCGAAAGGTGGATAGTGAGGGAGAGAGCAGTGTGTCTCTAAGGAAAATGGGAGGGAGGCCATTTGACGTGACATGGGCTGACTCTACTTCCTTTCTTCAGCTCTCAAAATGGTGGATGCTTGGTGTGGTTTGTGCTCTTTAGCATAGCATTTTTCACATAAAGCTTTTAATAAAAAAAATCAGTAAACAAGTTCTCAGTTTCTTTTTGCAGAGAAAAACACATTTTTAGACAAAGACACGGGTTTCAACTGTGAATTTTGGAGCTTTGACAAGACAGAGGTTTTTTCCCATGGTCGGTCTGTTAACTTAGCTTGTAGCTTAGCTTCTCAGCTTAGCTGCTTTTAACGATCCAAAAAAGTGATTTTGGACGGTTAAAACAGATTTTAAAGAGAAAAGCGAAAGGGAGGGGTCAGTGAAGAGCACCGGAGTTGAGCCTTTTGTCATCCAGTGTCTTCAGTAGAAAGAGAGACACGAAGAAATTATAAAGTTGGTAAATGAAAATGAGGTCGATAATTTTTATTTATCATGTGATTAATTGATTAATTGATTAATTGTTTATTGTGAAAGGCCAAACTGAAATAACTGAGCCAGTTTCAGAAAAAGATTGTATTATTTTCTTGCTTGCAGACAGCTCGTGCTTTACACCCAGTGCTCTGCAAATTCACAATTGTTCATCAATAATATAGACTAGCTCTTAAATTCAGCCAAGCAACAAACTGAAAACTGTAAAATTGTTTATAAAGGGTTTATTTCAAATCCTTTGGGAATGTTATGAATGCTTGGGTCTTCAAACACTCAGCAGTTTTCATTGCATGAAATGTCAAAGGCTTCTGAAATGTATTGACATTTATCATGTAAAAATACCCCAGAAAATCTAAGAGAATAATTCAGATCGCACACAAAAAAAGAAGAAAATACAAATAAAACTCCTTTATCAAGCTGAGCAGCCAAATTATGCAGGTACATTTAAAATGCAATGAGGTGTTGCACAGTTACAAACCAAGTGAAATTAATGTAGCCAATTAGCAAGAATCTACCCTCCAGCCTGCATGAAAGTTCAGCCTTGATGTGAGCGG